CACAATGAGACTTATCATGTATCTTTTTACACAGTTCCGAGAAACGGCAAGGATGAGAATATTGTTGATTATGTGTTAGTGATGTGTCCGTTGAATATTGATCGAGACAATTAATCGAATACTTACATGGTGGTAGACTATTTTGGGAATCGGATTCGTCTGTTGTATCCATTGTTGATACATTTGATGAACCAAATGGATTCAAACTTTTAACCAATTTTCCTAATCTACCAAGCGCGTCCGTTACTGAAGTACCCATGCTGCCGCTTTCTTCGTCTACCTTTGGTGAAACATTAGGTGATGTAGATGATGAAGGTTCAGGTTGTAGTTCGGACACATCAATCATTTCTATATCGTTAATGTTACTTGTAAAATTTCTGTCAAACTTTGGATGTGCCTCAGGAATCTGTTCGTGACTAATAATGAGATTTCGAATGGAAATATTTTGACTACCGGAACTGATATGAACATAATTCAATGTTGATATATCAAGTTCGTTCTTTGAAAACTTATAACTTAGAGATGTACGATTATAAATTCCATTGACACCAGCATGCACTAATGAGACTTCACCGGTTTTAAGGTTTATTCTTAAACAATAAAGAATATAATAATTAGGATTACAACCTTTGTGAAATGTATTCGATCCAGTTTTAAATTGCTGTCTTTGAAGAACAATACTGTGACTTGTAGGAGGCGAATTACTAATATATGTATGACGCTCATCATAACCAATACCAGTACCAGCACTAGTGGCAAGTGAAGCAATATAGCACGTGAGATAGACAAGATTTTTTTGCACTTTTCCAGCTTCAATTCGTTCATTTGTTAATATTAACATAAAATCACCACCTACCGCTTTCCAGTAGATATAAACACAATCATCGGGATTTGATTGATTTTTCGATGATGATAAATATCTCGATTGTGATTGAGATATTGTCATTGGACTAGTAACATATGTTTGAAATTTGGACGGTGGCATTGTGAATGTCATACCATAATATTTCAAATGTTGTTCAATAGCTGCTGTTTCTTCTTGTTTACCAATTAATCCCATAAGTTTTTCAAGAATATATTTGTGATAATCTTTACGCGATGCATCGGGTTCGGCAAAGGCCATTAATTCAATATTGAGATCGACAATATGTTCTGTCACTGTCAATTTCTTCCCAAATAGTGTTTCTGCATTTTTTTGAGCAACAGGAGATAATGAACTGAATACATTGTTTGGCATATATATATGATCAACATAACTTAGAGGAATCAACTGTGGTAAATGGATTTCGATGACTTGATGAGAGTCGACGGACATCCATCGTTGAATTATGTTTTTTAGATCGGCTTTCATCGGATTTTTCTGTCCTCCAGTAATAGCAATAAGCTCAAATGCGGTGACAGATTCATAACCCGGCACGGAACAATGAAGTTTCGTTTGATGAAAATTTTTCAGCTGACCTTCCTTTGTGCCAGGATCTTGAAGCCATAAACGGAATTTATAAGCGTTGGGTGGTTTACCAGATTCGCGTAGTGTATATGTCGTAGCAGCTTGCATAGTAAAATTGGAATCCGGATGCAGCATAATCTCATGTTTAAATACAACGGCAATATCACCGTAATAGTGACCTGTATGTGGACCAAGAATAGCGAATACATGTTGATTTGTGCCTAGTTCAACATCGCGGATAAATCCGATGCCTGTTTGGTTTGAGCAAAGTGTGATTGATGCTTGAGCTACTTGAATTGCACAATTACGAATTTCATCGATTTCTTCGGATTTAAGTGCGACTTGTATTGCTTGCTCTTTAGAATCAATTCGGTATTGTATCTGCGACTCATTTTTATTTGATGTGTAAAACACTTTATCGCCTTTTTTGTAAAACTCCATTTTGACAAGTGCAGCAATGAAATCACGAACATTGTCTTGTACAGCGGGTACATGTCTAGAAACAATTTTACGCACAGTATTGTGTTCATTGGCGCTGTGTGCAACGAATTCTTCTTTTTCTAGCCGATCCATATGTGCCCGACTCATGACATGACCATGAACAAGAATTGATTCGAAAATAGTTGCCGAACATCGATGAACAGGTTGAAGAGCTCTAATCCAGTTGAGTAAATTATTTGGAATCAAAACATTTGACCATTTAATATTGTGCTTCTTCTCGAAATATTCTTGCAGATTTCGAGTCATATAATCTTGATTGAACACAAAATCTATTGTCTGATTCAAGCCAGAATATTGTGCGACGCCCAGAAAATCTTGTCGATAATTGTGGCGATATTTAATCGTATGTGCCGGTTTCTTTAGATCTTGACAATCGGCGGCCGAATAACGACATTCAAGCCGAATGTCTCGCACATCGGTGTGCGTGAATGATTCAAGATGATCTTCATCAGTTAAAAACGGGCACATCTTATCTCCATCAGGACACATTTTTCGTGCAATATGAATTGTTGTTGACAAATGTTTTGGAGTTTTATCATTACATTGACGACCCCATGGACATACATGAGAATAATGAAGGCAATGATATTCGAGATCTTTGGATTCCTTTCGATTCATATTGTAATCTTCATGTAAATTACTGGATTGTAAATATTCAACAAATAATTCACACGAAAACGGAGTTTGAGGACAAGGTTTTTTGAATGGATGTGATTCACGTTTAATATGATCTTGATCATGAAAACGAACACAATTACCGCCAAATGGACAAGAAATTTGACAATGTCGATATTTTAATTGATGTTCTTTCACCATTTGTAAATTAAGTTTACAATCGATTCCATGTCGACATAATGACACGTGCCGAAACTTCGATAAATGTAATGTTTTCATATTAGTGCATGATCCACCTTCGGAACAGAAATTCGGATGAATATAATCGAACATATGTTGCTGATTGTCGATGGATTCGCATAGACCACCTTGAGGACACGCCCGACGATGACTAAACGATTGAAGATGAACATCATTCTCCATATCGGTGCATTCCGATCCCATTGGACATAATGGTGGATGAGTATATGATTGACGATGTTGGGGATCGTACAAATCTCGGCATTTCGTTCCATATTCACATGCTGGCAAATTCAATATGCTCACATTATCAAAACGCACAGATTTACCTTTGTTTTGTGATTCTATTATGTAATAAGGTCCTACGGCCATTCCGACAGTCGGATTCATCACTGGACGAACGCAAAAATCATCTAATACTTTTTGAAATGGGAGAAAATTTCCATCTGGATTCATTTGATTACCAGTATTATGATCGTCTATGATTGAGAAAATAATTTTTTGGAAAAATCCAGCATATTGAATAATAACTGATTTGAAAATCAAAGCGACATGTTCGGGACTAGAAATGAAAGAATTAAACGAAAAAATATTCTTAACAAATAACACTTACGGGTTTTTAAATGCACCACAGCCGAGAGCTGAAAGTATCAGACAGTTATGACCATGTTGATGTGCGATTGCAAAGAAATTTTCGATTTTCCTACGAGTACCAATAGCATATTTTAACGAGAGACGAATATTGTGATGAACAGGTGGATTTCGAAAAGCAGCAATTGCTAATGAACAAAAATTGTAAATTGGTTTTGGTAAGAATGGATAACCAGCTTCTTCTGTTCCTCGTAGGACAGTAATACCCGATGAATAAATACCCCCAAATTCGTCTATTGGATACAACGATTGTTGTTTGATATCTAATCGTTTCCGTTCTGTTGTTTCTGAACAGTAAAACCATTGACAATTATCCAATTGATCTTCTTGATAAGTGAGAGTCGGATCAAGACTAAAATAATAGTTCGAACGACGGAAAACGTTTTCTTCTTGTGCTCCATCACCTTTTCGATAACCTCCACCAGGTGTCGAAGCATTCGCCATGTTGAGAAGCAAAGGTTTGTAACCAGCTGCTACTTGTTTTGCATATGAAATAAGACAATCTTCGTTCATCACTCGAACACTAGTTGATTCAAATGGTGGTAATCGACTATTCATTTCTGCAGATTCGGTAAGTTTCGATTGATGATTGTAAACAATTGTAACAAGTGGCGTTAATGGTTCAATTTTAATTTCTGTTTTCGTTGCTACATCTTCAAGATCGTATTTCTTTGCTCGTATAGCTCCAATTGTTTTTAACATAACAGTAACACGGAGCATACGACGAAACAGATCATGTTTCCGTCGTTCATTTGAATCGTTGGTGTTTGCAAACTGTTTGGTGACATTTGTGAACTGTTCTAACCAAATTTTCGAATTCCATTTATAACGAAATATTGGATGACGTGGATCAAATTGTGTTATATCAGGTTTATGATCAAGCATTCGAGCACTATACCAGTTCTCTTCATTGATATCAGCATCTTCAGGATTGATGACTGCAGTGTACGTGTATGGAAGAATTTGTAATCTTAATTGATCTTCATTGTGAATGATTTCAATGAAGCGAATATTTAAACATTTGTTATATACATGAGAATCAGTGATTTCGACAACAAGATTTTCGCCAATGCGTTTGTAATTATTCTGTTTGACCGAGTTTTGAAATATCGTGTGACTGAAAATTGCCGCTGACGAAAGATCATTCGGTATTGGTTTAATAATTAATTTACAGGAAATATTTGCTGTTTTGAATATTAATTCATTTTTGATGTTGACAAATTTCATTGCTAACCATTGATATACTGTTGATGATGCAATGATAACAGCATTCGATGATTCTTCATTATATTGAATATGAAAAAGTGATTTTAGTCTCTTCATTTCTGGTGGTAATGATGACAGTTGCTGAAAAAGCGCATCGGCTTTTTCTTGACAATAGTTTCGATCTGTTCGTAAACGATCGCTCATTTCAAGTTGTGTAACAATGTAACAAAATAATCTTTCGGAAGTGATTTTCGGTTTTGAACGAGGAATTTCTTCTAAATAACTACAATCGGCTCGAAGAAATATTTTGCCGATGAATTCATCATTAATCGAAATAATTCTTTGTTGTAGTGCTGCTTGGGCTTCTTTAATAGAAAATATTGTTACTTTGATAATATTCGAAAATTGCATCGATAAAACTTCGAAATTAGGCGAACAGTTTGATTGGAATACTTCCATCCATCGTTGAGCAATGGTATTATTTGCTAATTGAACTGGTTTCTCGAAAATTAAATAACAAATTATTTCTAAATCTTCGACGAAGCTAATTTGGAATTGATGTTCTAGATGTAGTGCAATCGTTTGAAGCTTATCAACTAAATAAGATTTATTTTGTTGGTCTACATGGGCAATACCAACGCCGATATCTGTGAAACATTCAATCTTTGACACTTTAATCTTGTACAGATCCTGTAATCGTGTATGAATGGTTTCTTCTAGATTGATATTCGATTCAACAGTTGGTAAATATGGAATATATACTTCCACTGGTGGACCTTCTTCGGGTTCATTTGGTTGTAATTGTGATGAAGACATATCTTCTTGTTTGTCTATTCAAGAAAAAAAAGATGTCCTTATTTAAATGAAGTTTTTTCATACTAACTCGTAGACATATTTTGAGTATCTGTATATTGAGATACTGGTGAATTGATGATAGTAGCAGGATTACTCAGAGTTAATTGACTGAATTGTGTCGAGACTGTCGTAGGATCGAATTGGAGAGGATTTGCTTGGACTAGTTGATTGCTTGGTTGATAGCTGGGTTGACTATAGTCTGATCGAAAAATTATATCGAAATATTGAAATTTGAATAAAGTCTCAATGTTACCTGTGAATTGTGGTTGAATATTGATAAGTTGATTTGGATTATCGACAACGGGAATACGTGAAGAATCATCTGGGTTCGATGGTAAAAGTGGTTTTGAAATGATATCGGAGAGCTGTTTTTCTGCGAGATATTCGTTGCGTTTAGATATTAACTTTTCATACTGAACCTCTGCAATCAGTTCAACAACACTGCTGTCTTCAAGACCATCTTTCCATCCAAGTTTAGCCAAAGAATCAAGAGTTATATCGAGAAGATTTCGTCGTGTTTTATTAATTTTACATTCATCAAATAATGTCAATATTGGTTGGCGAAAACATTCACGTAATGCACGAAATAAAACACTATCGTATGCATTGATGTATTTCTTCTTGACTGCTGGTATAAGATATTTATCTGATTTATTCAATGCCATGTTATATCCATAAATAATAAATGAATTCCAAATATCATCGAACACATTATCTGTAGTAATAATTTCATCGTCAAATTCGAAAACAATCTGTAGAACTATCGAAAATACAGGGCATGTCTTTAAAAATCTCACTCCATAGTCAGCTAAACGTGTTAAAACACGTTCATGCTGTTCAGTGTCTTCTTCCGATTGATGCGAAGTCATAAAACTGTTGAACCACTCAAATGGAATATGTTGCCATTGTTGAAGATAATACCGTTTCAAAATCTGAAGCAGTTCTGAACTGCCATCATTCTTCATTTGAATATCAAAGTCCCTTCGTGCAATATGAGCACGATATTCATTCAAACTTTGACGTCCATTTGTAAGTAGATGTTTTGCAATGACATTTGATTGATTTTCGTTTTCGTCAATGCCTAAAACTTCACAAATTTCAGCAATAAACTTGCTTTCAGAATCATTTTGATATTGTTCGGCCGTAGCAAAACTTCGATAAGCCATTTACAATAGAAATTGAAAGAGCTGTTTGCAAATTCAATTCAATTTATATTGACTACAACGAATCTATCTTTATTGAGCGAATACAAAATCTAAAAAATGATAGAGTTTTGTTAAAGTATGAGATCAAAATACTGGAGTATTTTATGTTTGATAATTTCATTCGAGTTAGAAATGAAAGTTAGCGTCGTTTATATGCAGATAAATAAAACACCAATTTAGAGACTGATAAGAAGAGAAAAATGCCGAGAACGAAATGGCGAAATTAGTATAAACCTTTTCTTTGGCGGGTAACGGGCAAAGGTAATGTACCGAGACTATTCTCGATGCACCGTCACGTTAAGATAACAGATTTGTATACTCTTTTTTTTTCGATTGTTTAGTTGAATCATAAAAATCCTTCAATAGTGACTTTGGACTGCTGAAACGTGGTTTTTTCTCAAGTAATAAGATAGAAACAAAAGTAATTTTCATGTCCATTTTATCATTGCCAGCTTGAGGGTGTGGATGTGGATGTGGATGTGGGTGTGGGTGTGGGTGTGGGTGTGGGTGTGGGTGTTGGGGTGGATGTGGATGTGAGGTGTGAGTGTGGGTGTGGGTACGGGTATGGATCTTCTCTTCAAAAGAACCCACACCCTTTTTGTTAAAGGTTTTGGAAAAGACATTGCCGCTTTGACCATAAAAAGTCGTGATGCCAACTAGCTGTAGAAAAGGACCAAACCATATTTAAACTTGGTCATCGATTTTTCAATACCAATTTCATACTAAACTGACTTGTCTGTCAACTCCCGCTAGAAGATGGAAACAAAAATAGAAAAATACGCCCTTTATCATCGGACACTACCTCTTTCCAAAAAAAGAAATGTCGTGATTCCCATTCCTCTTCTTCAAGAGAATACATCCTATTCCGCGAAGTTGCACATTGCGGAATCAGTTCCATTTGATTCCGGAATTCCCGCAATTGCATCCGATTCCCGAATTGGATGCCATATCGAAAGGGAATTCTGGGAATCAGATGGAATCGGAATCAGACGGAATCCGACGGAATTACTACTGATTCCCAGCGATTCCATCCAATTCCTTTCGATTCCAGAATTAAGATGCAATTCCGGAATGGGCCGGAATTGCTGGGAATTGCTAGCGATTCATTCTAATTCCCTCAGATTCCGCTTCGATGTAATTCTCGGAATTCCGTTCCACCTTCACCCACACTATGTCTTGTGTAGTCATAGTCAAATATCTAAAATAAATGAGCGATTCCAGTACGGAATTCCGGGAATTAGATCGGGGGGGGGGGAATCAGACGGAATCGCTGGGAATCAGTAGTAATCCCCAGCGATTCCGTCTAATTCCTTTCGATTCCGGAATTAGGATGCAATTCCTGAATGGGACGGAATTGCTGGAAATTGCTAGCGATTCCTTCCAATTCCGTCTGATTCCGCTTCGATGTAATTCCCGGAATTCCGTTTCACCCTCACCCACACCATGTCTTGTGTAGTCATAGACAAATATCTAGAATAAGTGAGCGATTCTGGTACGGAATTCCGGGAATTAGATCGAGGCGGAATCAGACGGATTCGCTGGGAATCAATAGTAATTCCGTCGGATTCCGATTCCATCTGATTTCCGGAATTCCCTTTCGAAATAGCATCCAATTCAGGAATCGGATACAATTCTGGAAATTCGGAAGAACTCGATCGTTTTTGAATGAAGCGAGTTAGTTGGACGATTTAGAATTCCGGAATCGGATGGAACTGAATCCGGGGGCGGAATCGATTCCGCAATGTGCAACTATCTTGGGTGTGGGTGTGGGGTGTGGATGTGGGTGTGGGTGGGTGCGTGTGGGTGGTGAGTATGGGTGTGGGTGTGTGTGCGTGGTTGGTGTGGGTGTGGGTGGGTGTGTGTGGGTGGTGGGTATGGGTGTGGGTGTGGGTGTGGGTGTGGGTGTGGGTGGGTGGGTGCGGGTGTGTGGGTGTGGGTGTAGGTCGGTGTGAGTGTGGGCCATTTCTGAAAGTATACCCACTCCCAAAAAAAATTTTATTTCGATGCCCTACTATGGTGAATGTTCATTGATCTTAGCAAACAAGATAAATAAAGTATTTAATCATCCGTTAAAACCAATAGGTTTTGGATTCTCAGCTGGAGCTAGAATTTCAACATTATGAAGTAGAACATTTCGTGAAGAGAAAGATATGAAAAGGTTGTTTATCAATATGACTGTATAGATTGTAATGGGGTTTACATCGGTCAGACTGCTCGAGGTGTAGAAGTAAGAAAGGATGAGCATAAAAAAGCTTTACAAGGACGTGGTCACGCAAGAATAGCTGAACACTGTATGAATCTAAATCATACGAACAATTGGAATCACAAAGTCATTGCAATAGAATCTAACAACACCAAACGAGAAATAAAAGAAAGTCTGCTTATGGATCTAACACAAAAGAAGAACAATAAGAACGGTTACTCACAGAAAAGTTTTGTTCTTAATATATTTTGATGAACTTTTGTTGGACACACATTTTTTGGGGGAAAAGGAGATTTAAAAATTTAGTAAATTCTAACGTTAGAATTTACTAGATTATATATATTTTTTTTCGTTCTGCTATGTGTTGTTTATATTTCTCTTTATTTTCTAAGTGTGTATATTAGTTGTTTTTTGACTGATGATGTGACAAGTTGTTCACGAAACGTCTCTAATATGATAAAAATGGTGTCTATAATTTTCTTATTTATGAATTTTGATGCAAGTCGTTCTGAAAAATATTGAACCCTCGGTTTTTTGAGGATGTTTTATGAAAAGTCCTATAAAGCTACATTTCGACCAGGCTGAGTCTTGACGGGACCATATCTCCAGAATAGTTCAACTGATTGAGCTGAAATATTTTGTGGATATATATCTCAATGAGTTCTACTCACGATAAAATTTTCAACTCAAAACACTGAGGGCATGACTGTGACTGCGAGTGTGAGTATGAGTGGTGTGGGTGTTTTTTTTTCACTTGCTAGATGCTCAGACCCACTCACTCGACACCAAGGGGAAAAAAACGGAATCCTGGAATCCTGGAATCCGGTGGAATATTACGGAATCCTACGGAATCCCACGGAATCATGGAGTCCAATGGAATCCGATAGAATCCAATGGAATCCGATGGAATCCAATGGAATCCGATAGAATCCAATGGAATCCGATAGAATCCAATGGAATCCGATGGAATTCAATGGAATCCAATGGAATCCGTTGGAATCGAATGGAATCGAATGGAATCCGATGGAATCCAGTAGAATTCTATAGAACCTTGGAACCTTCAGTTCAAAAGCCCTTAGAAATACTACTATTGCAGGAAAATCTGTTCAGATACATCCAGTGGCGTATCCAGGATTTTTAGACCAATGGGCAAACTTCTCTAGTGTTGGAAAAAAATTATGGGCAAAATGGGCGAGGCTTTTATCGATAGGCCAGAAATTTTCTTGGCCCAAAAAGTACTAATAACGTAAAAAAACTACAAAAAAATGAGGTTATTTTAACCAGATATGCATCAAACTCGAAGCTCAAGCCTAAGTCAGATGTGTTTTGGATATTTTTAAGAGAGTCCGCGAGAGAAGACCCCTACTCAATGCGAAGGTCGCCGGAGAAAAAAATATTTCGATTTTTTTTATCTCAAATGAGAGGTCTAGGCAAACCATAAACAAATCCAAAATATTAAGTCATTTGGGTTTATGTATGAAAAATACGAGCTGAAACAAGTTTAAGAAGATCATTTTTGACCTCAAAACTGCTATTCTGAGGGTATGTTCAGTATTTTGACATTATCTAACGAACGGCTCGACTGTTTGAATTCAGAAACGTCTCGTTTTATAGAGAACAGTTTAGGCTACAACTGTATCCGATTCAAGTCCTAGACATATAAGCTGATAAAAACGCCATCGGTCAAAACCTGTTCAAAACGCGAGAAATGGCTTGTTCCAGATGGCCGGTATTTTGGAGTTTTCTCCCGTGCTGTACATGGTCCTAGAGTTCTTTTTTCACCACACAAAGATTTCATCAAGATACATCTTTTGGCACTAAATTGTCAAGGTCAAAATGCCGAGTGGGGACCAAGTTAGCATGGACCACACTGTGGGTTACCCTATCTATTGACCATAGGGCATACCTCCTACAAATTTCTCTAGAAATCATGAAAACTGACTTCAGATTCGTGTTCAACTCGCAAAATTGGGTCATATAGGTTATTTTGAAATGATCTCTTACTTCTATCAAGCGTGATTGAGATCATGAGTTCCCTTATGGACATATGATACACCTCCAGACAAAAGTCTTTCCCTCTCTGTGTTTTTATGCTATCATACTTTGCATAAAATTTATTGCCAAGATATAACATGAGAGTTTTATTGCATTATGGTGTACAGATCACACTGTAATAAAACTCTCATGTTATATCTTTACTTGGCAATAAATTTCATGCAAAGTATGGTAGTATAAAAACACAGAGGAAGAAGACTTTTGTCCAAGGGTGTACATCGATTCCTACTAAAGTATTTCAAACAACATGAGGTATCAATAACAAAGTTTTATTACTATGTAGTTTATTAGCAACTATACCCGACGTAAGATGTTCTATTCTTCTCAATTCTTTATCATTTGAGCCTTGTTTAGAAAGAAGCTATTGATGGCTTTTACCAGCTTTGTTAAAATTGCAAAGACGCTTATATTCTATCTACTCTACAATTGGCTGAATATTTCACTTATCAGCATACAACATTTTACGTTGGATATAGTTGCAAATAAACTACATAGTAATAAAACTTTGCTATTGATACCTCATGTTGTTTGAAATACTTTAATAGAAATCGATGTAAGAGTAACAAATCTGATATAGAGTTCTTCTAACAAACTGGATATAAAAAAACAATCAATAATTCTCTTTCTTATTAGGATATACAGCTCAAACAATAACCATTCATTAGCATTATCTATATACTATAACTGGTAAAAGAATTCACTT